TTCATTTACCGTGACATATATAACAAATAAACATGTGAATATAAGCCCTATGGCCAGAAGCTCCAGAGGGAAAAAGTTCTCTCTATTCCCTCTATTGGTGAAGACAGAAAAGTGGTGCCATAGAAAGTGTTATATGCAACAGTCATCTACCCACAGTTTACTCCTGGGGGAATTCTGCACCAAAAAATTAAAAATTCAGACAATATTTTAAAATTCTCCATATTTTGTCAAAATAACACAATATAATCACATCAGTTTCAAGTCTTTTGGTTATACTTGCTTTCAGGTATTTTAATATAAATGTGTGTAACAATACAGAAAACAAAAAAGATTCCCCCAGGAGTAGAAAGTTAAAGAAACCCCTATCACAACCCAGTTCCTGTTTCTCAGCTGGCATGTGTGACACACCCCAGACTGCGGAGGCGTTTGTCGGCCTCCGCAGTCTGGGGTGTGTCACACATGCCAGCTCGGCACATCTTGGGGAAAAATTCTGCCCCATGGTCTTTTAGTCGATTCTCTTTTTTTGCCCTGCCCCCGTAAGATTACCATATTTCAAGTTCGTAAATAGGTGACGCTGCCAGGGGGAGTTGGAGGAGGGGTTGAGTTGGAGGTGCTGGAGGGATGTGTGTGTACTGGGAGAGAATGTTTAGGGGTGCTGGAAAGGTATGTGTGTATTGGGGGATGCTGGAGGGGGTGTTTGGGGAGTGCTGGAGGAGTGTGTGTGTGTACTGGGGGAGGACATTTGGGGGCTGCTGGAGAGAATATTTGGGAGGTGCTGGAGGGAGCTGTGCCCCTGGCCCAGACACCGGCACTCCCCTGCCCCCAGAGCTCAGCCATAAGCCCAGATGCCCACACTCCTCTCCCTAGCCAGACCCCAGCCACACGCTCTGCTCTGTAGCGGTTCATTACTGTCCACACAGGGGACACGGTGTGGCCCCACCCTTCATCACTTTTTACAAGAGCAGGGTCTTTCACTCCTGCTTCAGTCCCTGGGCAGATGAAGATCAGGCCTGGCAGACAGAGCATGCAAAACCTTATTCTCCACCAGGCTGAGTGCTCTGCTCACTGCAGGGCCACAGTCCAGGGCGTGCCAGGAACCGCCGCTCCTGGGAATCTGCCAGCTTCCCCTCCCCACCCTGGCCATCCTCTATTTGTGAGCTAGGGAGCCAGACTCTGTGGGATCCTAGTGGTGGCCAGCAGGTCTGCAGTGCCAATTCTGCAGGAAAACAAAAATTCTGCACAGAACATTAGTTCTGTGCAAATTTTGCATTGCATAGTGACACAGAATTCCCCCAAGAGTAACAGTTGTTCTAGTGACACGTAGAATGTCTTCATAACTATCTGTGAACTTGGATTTGGGGGTGTAGTGGGCTCCCAGAATGGGAAAAGAGCTCTTACTATGTGGCAAAGAGCTCATTTTTAAGCGGCCAGGACTCTGCTCCAGAGTTCTAAACATTCTTGGATCCCCTCCCAGGGGGATTTTGTGGCAAGAGACAATACAGAGGACAACAGCACAGCTAAGTGGACTCTGGTGAGGGCCCTGTTGTAATAACTGGTCCTACAAATTTACCCTCATTGAAAGTTCCACTGTGAGGAATGAAAGTTTATAAAATGTTACAATAACCTACAACAATAAGCACTGAAGGGAAAAGGTGAAAAAAGGAGACAAAAACTAGGTTAGTTCAAACAAAAAAGGCCTATAGCTATAACTCAAGGACTGTGTTATAATCATGCCTGGTAAACAAGAGTTAAGTGTGGGACTGGAAAACAATGGACCAAAATCGGCATGTCAGATATTAAGTCAAAATGGTGAACAAAATAATGGGGGGATGGTCTTATGCCCATCACACCCTTTTGGGGTCCTCAAAAAAAGAGCAGGGGGGGCAGGGAGTATTAGCAGATGCTGGCTGACTGAAAGGCAGGGGAACAGGAAGGAATGAGCTTTGTCATCATGGCTGCCACCTTCACAGTCTACCAGAACTCCGGAATCCACTGTGACACTGTTGGGCCTTCCATCATCCTAATCCCAAGGGAGGTCCCGACCAGACCCAGGCCAGAGAGAGGGACCCAGATGACATTACATTTCCATGAGCTTCATATGAATCCCATATGCCACCTGGGATGTGAGACTTTTTACCCCCAACACTTTGTGTGTCCTTTCCCCGCCACATTATCCCTTTTCTTTCCTATCCCTTTTCTTTTGCCTTCTGTTTAATAAGGCTCCGTCTACACTGGCACCACTAATACCACTCCTTGGGGGTGGAAGTTTTTTGTCAGCAGGAGAGCTCTCTCCTGCCAATAAACAGCAACTACACTGTGTGCCCTTTTAGCAGCACAGCTGTAGTGGCACAGACTGGCTTAGCCAGCTAAAACAGTTTATCTTGCAACACTACTGTGAGCCCATGACCAAAGAGGCAGTTAAAAGCGAGGTCTTAAACAGCCTGATGCTGGTACAAGTTTGCCAGGTCTCAAAGTGGCTAGAAAGATTGTGTGCCATGCTTGTTTCTCCAGCAATGAGGCTGCAAGAGAAAGTTAACACTATAGACAGAAGCTGCATTTTCTATCTTTGCTGTTATTCTCGTTCCCTTTTGTGTGTGGGGTTGGCTTGTTTGGTCTTCTAGAAAATGGGATAGTACTTAAACAGCTCCAGCCCATCTCAACTAACTTCTCTCTTTCCTCAAAGGACAAGTTCCTCCAAAGAAACATCTTTAATACCAACACTTTACTCAAGTATCTTTTTATCAGGATACCCTGGGTCTTCTGGGCCCCAAAACACAATCCAATAGAAAGGACTTAAAATAAAACAAGCAAAAGAGACTCACATACTTCCAAGTCCTGGCCATCTCAATTTCTCAAGCACCATACTACCTGATCTCTCAGCCAGGAGCACATTCACCAGATCCCTCTCCAAACTGAGATAATTTACTAGGCTGTTCTGGTTTCTGTGCTACCTTTTTGGTCACCTGCACTAGAACACTTTTCAGACAGGCCTACCTCATACAATCCCCGTTCAGTTGCCACTGCCTAGGCAGCCTTCCCCCTCCCAGCCAGAGGTGCCTGTAAAACTCTGCTCCCTAAGCATTCCTCCTCCTCTTGACCAACACTCCCAGTCCACCCCAGCTGCAACTAGTAATGACCTAACGAGTCACAGATGTCTCTCACCAGACTGAATTAAGCCCCTGACACGGGCACATTGGGGATTTGGTCCTTTCCTCTAAAGCAGTGGTTCTCAATTGGAGGTCCAGAGGGCTGCTAGCTGGTTTCAGGGGGTCTGTGAGCCTGGAGACCATGGGCAAAGTTGGAAGGGGACACAAAGGGCATTTTGCCCCAATCTGCAGTGCCTTAACCAGAGCAGGGCAGTCCCAGAAGCAGCTTCACCTCCCTCCCACCAAGGCCCTGCCCAGGTCAGAGACTGGAAGCCAGAGCCAGGCAGTGTGGGTACTGACCATGGAGCGGTCAGCACAGCGCTACCCTGTCTGCTGCTGGTGCTTGGAGCTTCAGCTGCTCCTCAGCTCCAAGCCCCCTTTGACTGCTCGCAAAGCTGGTAAAAGCTGTCTGGGTGGCAGGACCCATCTCCCTCAGGGAATGACCGACCACAGGGGGCCCTCCCTTGGAACACAGCCCCTAGTTACCCCCTCCCTGCACCCTGAGCTACCTGCACACAGTCCCTAGCTACACCCAGACAGACTGGGTGACATGCTGAGGTGAGTTGGGGTGGAGGTGGTGCTCCCTCTCCTAAGCCCTGCTATGCAGAGCTGGTCCCCCAAAATAGAAGTCAAAATACACTTAGGTAGGGTACCAGGTGTGGGGAGGGGGAGAAAGGGCTTAGAAAGAAAAAGGTTGAGAATCCCTGCTCTAAAAGGACCAAACTCTTGACACTCACTTTTTTTCTTTTAACAGGAAGATCAGAACTGTTTGTAATATTACTAAAAAATTAAACCCTAGCTAATAGCAGGCCCAATCCTCAGCTGGTGTAAATCAGCATAGCTTTGTTGGTTGCATTGGTACGATACTGATTTAGAAGATCTGGAGGTATGTTTTAATTAGGATATAGATTTTTCTCCAGACCATACAAAGCTATACAGCATGTAGGTGATGTGTGCCATAATACATGAAATTGTTGATGAGCATCCTCTTTAACAAGGCCTTTTATACCTCTGAGGTAATATAAAAATCAGATCCAACACATTTCATATATTTACAAAACAAAAGTATAAAGAGAACAATTTGGGCACAGAAAGAGCCACATTAAAAAAAGGGTTACATATTTAAAGTGTGGTTGAACTCCGAAAAGTGAGTGCGTTAAAAAATTGGCATTGCCGAGTTCTATACTTGTTTCTCAGAAATTCTCATAGTAGCTTTGCTCAGTTTAAAAGTAAAATATATTTAGCTACTATCATCTGCACAGAAACTCCTGGAATTTAAAAGTCAAGCTGTGTTCTTTCTGGCTTGTGGATCACCAACCAGTAATACAGCCTACATGCAACAACAACAAAAATGTAACATGTAATATTTGCATAAGTAGCATATTTTACATATATGTTAACTCAAACTAAAATGAAACTGGCCCTTTTCATATTAACCTGCACACATATATAGAACATCCTTACACGAAAGATTTCTAGAAAATGTTCCATGGTCACATTCTAATTAATTCCATCATGGATGTATACTGAATCCATCTCATGCTCTTGTAGTTTTGAGGGGCTGTAGTACAAACAACAGGAAATGTATCACAAAACCAAACCTGCAGAAGACAAACTCTGTATGTTGTTGTTCTAGCACAAGTACAAAAAGATAAAGATGTTTTAATATTAAGGTGAATAAAATCTGTTTTGAAGAAAGCTTGAAGTTAATTTTTGCCTCTTTTCTTGTGCTCTTTAGCTGTTGAAAATGAAATTGTGCATACTAATCTTTAAAACTAGCCGCCAACTTTAAAAAAAAAAAAAAGCCGTGGAAGCTATTCTGAAAAACAAATGAATCATCACCAAAACATTAGCTGTGTAACAGTTTTTTTTATTTTACTATATTGACATTTTATGCACAAATATTTTATCAGAATAAAAATAGAAAATAATTGTTTCATGTAAAATTACCAAAAAAATTCAGAACAAAAGTAATACATAATTATTAGCAGAGTATAAGTGTCTTTATTTAAAGAGTAAAAATGTACGCAAAACCCCTGTTTTACAAAAAAATTGGGATTATACTTTTTTTTCTGGCAGCAACAAAACAATTATATTGACATATAATATTCTACATCCTTTATTTAATTGAAGACATCAAGTTAGTCAGATTTCGCTCTTAGCTACAGGAAATTTGACAACAGCTTTATGCTGTTTGGAAAATGCATTGGTCCTTTTTTAATGAAAAGAACATGGTGGAAGAGCAGCAGATCCTACCAGGAAATAAAATGCATATAGACAAACCCAAAAGGGATAATCATATTTACTAAATTAAAGAGCTTCAACCTAATCATCAGATGTATTTACATGGGAAGTTTTGATGCCATCTTTCCTAATAGAATGGAATAAGAGTATGTATATTCAAGGGTAAAGCATTAATTTTCCTTACTAGTTTTGATATGAATTCATCCTCCATTAGACTGATTTGGTCAGTCAACATTTTAAATTCTTCCTTTCTCTGCCCACTTGCAGTATTTTAGACCTCTGCTAGAAAGATTGAGCAGTGTTCTAAGGGGCAGCTGTATCACATTTATTAATTAGCTACTTGAATTGTGGCTTGTATTTACAGTGCCCATCCTTGTCTTGAACAGAGCTGCACAAATGGAATTCCGGACACAGAAAAAAGTTGTTAGCCACGCAACTTGCAGCCTAATTTTCTCCTTTCATAAGCAAGATAGTGACCTCAGCTATTTACGTAAGAGATTTCAAATGCTTGATAGTAAAAATGGGCTACAACTGTACTATAACAGTCATACAAGCTAGACATTTGACTTGACTTCTGACTGATGTACCCATATCTGTAACTTAAGGATTTGTTACGGACTAAAAAGGATTTGTATATCTTCTTATAAAGCTAATACATCTTTCAGAAGCAGCATGCTCAGCCTTTTGGCAAATGAAGGAGTGCTTCAGTAATTCAAGAATGGTAAATTAAAAGTCACTGGGGAATCTGACAAGAGAAAGCTACAATCGTGGTGATGGCAGCTAAAGAGACTTAAATGATAGATTGCCAAAACGGCATGTGAGAGATCCTCAGGACTACAGCAGAGGCATGGAGATGCACCTCCACCGAGAAAAACACCTCAGCCCCCAGATGTACCCTTAAAAAAGAAACCCTAAAAATATACAAGTCTCACATATTTCCAATTCCTTGAAAGCCAGTTTCTCTTTACTTGTCAACAGCAATAACGTAGTGCTCCCACCACTCAGTTTAAGAACATTTTACATTAAGCATCTGTCAGTGTAGCAAGATTCTTGACTTAAAAGTTTTAAGAGTAACTTGACCTTTCAACATGGTACTAAAGATTTTTCTCTTATGCAATTATATTTTTACTATTTGTCAAGTGACACCACAGCTTCTGCTGATGGTTCCTTATTTAAAAAAAATCTGCTTGCAAGAACAGCAAAAATGCATGGTAACACAATATTCATACTGTTTAAACAAAGGGGCAAAAAGTAAAAAATACTCTATTCAGACTAACAGAAGAAGTCTAGCAATCCATTAATGGAGAAGCTCACAAATCATGGAGACACAGTTTTCTACATATTAACATGTATATGCTTGAAGTAAGTAGTATTTATACCAGTCTCTGGATTAAGGATACATTCCAATTATATATATTTTGAAAAATTTATCCAAACCCTTAACTGTGTCCTGCTTAGGCCTCAGGAATGTGTAGTTTTGTTTCTGAGGCCTTAAAACATTATCTGAAGTTTGGAAAAAGTAATTTTAAATAAGAAACTATATTTTTTCATATTTTAATAGGGCAGACTGTACAATAATCTGGAAGTGAAACTTCAGATTTTTATAAACTTATTTGCAACTCATTTTGTTTCTAAACAGGAAAGGATTGCTGAATGTGATTAACTTAAGTCTTCAGTTCATCAAGATCAACTATAGTGCAGGTATAAGGAGTATTGGCTAATATACTCTGCAGTTTAGAGTAATAAAAACTTCTTTTTGGGTGAGGGAAGTTTTTAATAACCTGACAGGAAAAACATGGAAATCTTTATTAATTTTCTTTTGCTGAGTAGCAAGCATAACATTTTTCAAAAGTTAAGAACTTTCCCTCGTATATGCATGTTAGCTACACATTACAATGAAATACTCATAATTGGCTTTTGATCTAAGCCAGAGTTAAACCTGGATCTCTTTCTTCAGCACTGATCTTCAGTTTAGTCTATTCTTAGTTTTCTTTGCTTATAAACAGAGAAATTGTCTTAAGGACTTGATGCTTTGTATTATTTTTTAATGTGTCTGTTCTTTCTGCTCTGCTTGATTAGATGAGATTAACAGGCATGTTTAAGGGCAGCTCCTGCTTTAATTGTGTATGCATCCAATTCCATTTTGTAGTTCGATAGAGAATAAAAAACAGCAGAAAGGGTTGAATTCAAACTATTGACCAGTCTATTTCCTGTAGATGCTTCACTTTTCTTAAAATGCTGGAACAAATATTTTGTAGGCCTGAACATACAACATGAACCAGTTCATCTTTCCTCACCAATTTCAGCAGACTACATGACACAGTGTGCCATTCTTCACATTGAAGAAGTTGTGGTGATCCCTTAACATACACTGAAATATATGCTGTTAAAGATCCAAATTTATGGGAGTCTCAGTTCTTTGTAGAAAATCATGCATCATATTGTACTGTCAAGGAATAAAAAGAAGCTTCCAATTCTGATAAAGATAACTGCTCTGGTATATAAGAAAGGCCTCAGGCTCCCACTTTCAGGTCCTAGTGCTTAATTGTCTTTCTCGGTTTGCAGGGATGCTGTAGCTAGTGCTACTGCTGTGACTGGCTGTGCAATGCCATGGAGTTGCATCTTTGCCAGTTTCTTTTGCTCACACTCTGTGACCAACCGGTTCAGCTCTGCTGCGCTATAGCCAATGAGAGTTTTCAAGTCACAGACAAATTTGTACACAAACCTCTTGCCTTGTACTTTGCAGATCATATCCCCATCATAGTAATACCTTAAATGAGAAAAACAAAGCAAAAATCAGTGCAAAGTAACAGAGTAATATTCAGTGTATGAAACCCACGCATCCACACACAATGATCACCCTTAAAGATGCTGTAGCGCTAAAAGGTAGGTTCTTTTTCTCATTGTAAGATGTTGATAAAGATTTATTTTATTCACCAACATAAAACTAGACTTCAACTCTCTTGCGCTGGAGTTGTTCTGTTTTCAACATAAATGGAAAGAGGAGACGAAGGCAGTGGAATATGAATTCTTTCTCGAGTTATCTGGCTGAGCTATTGGGAGAGCAATGTTACTAAATCAATTAATCATCGCCATCACAAATCCCACAGAGATGCAGGCTGCTTGAAGACTGAGCATCACTGGGGTGACAGTACACCGGAATGGCCATTTTGCAAGATTTCATTGATTATTTTTGCCTTAGCGGCAGAGAGACTCTTGGCCATTTCAGCTACAAGGACAATTGACTAGGAGGTCGGTTTCAGTATGCACCCTCATGTACTGACCCTGTAGGTCCCATAACTTTGCCTCTTGTTTCCTCCCTTGGCGGAGAAAGCAGCTAATTTCAAACTGAATGCTGTGGTCATTGTATTCATGAATATTATGGAAAGAGTGGGATTGTATATTAATATAGCCCATCTAAAACTACAGGATACTTTTCAATAGCGAGTACTGGAGTTGCACTCTTTCCTTTGTATAATTTAAATGTAGGACCTATTAAAAAACAAAGTCAGAAGCACATCCATTATCTATGTTTACAATTAATTATGAATGAATTACCTTTTTATGGTCAACATTTTTCATGTTTTATCACAATAGAGTTGTTACCATATGCCACACCAAACAGAATGCAGTTAAGATAACATAAAACTCTACACAAGATCTATAGTATTCCAGAGACAAATTTAACTTTTTACAGTTGTATTTTGTGCTCTCCTCACCTCAAGCATTACTGAATTTGGACTTCTGAGGTTTAGTGGGATTGTGATAAATTTGTGCAAGGCACAAATATAATGATAGAAAATTACCCAGCTATGGTTCAGTTTCTCTGAAAATATCATTTGACTGGAATCCCACTCTTACCTTATGCTTCTAGCATCAAATAGCTGGAAACTCCCTTGGCTCTCAGATTTTCAACCCTTTGAAAAGCATGCTTGTGTACAGAACAAATGCCAGGTCATCTGTACTTCTGAGATGTTCTTTAGTCCTTGATAAGCAAGGAATAAAGAGGGTCTCTAATCTCCAAGCAAAATTCAGTAAGTCACTGAACTATCTTTTGCCTCCCAGTCAAATCTCTTTGGAGACACCAAATTTTGAAGATGACATACTTCAGACTAAAGCTGTGTCTACACTGTCACTTTCAGTGCTAAAACTTTAGTTGTTCAGGGGTGTGACAAACACACCCGAGTGACAAAAGTTTTAGCACTGAAAAGCGCCAGTATAGACAGCGCTGTGGCTCCCGGCGATAATGCTCGTTCGGGGTGGTTATTTTTTTTTTATCACCGGGAGAGCTCTGCCTTGGCGATAAAGCGTGACTACATTGCCCACATCACAGTGCTGCCACAGTTGTGCTGTAACATGGGTAGCGTAGACATACCCCAAAACAAAAACTGGAACTTTCAGAATGAGAAATACCCAAGTTGGTATGGCAAACCACAGAGACTGGTGAAGACTTCGGGTGCAGGTAGCAATCGATTTATCGGGGATCGATATATCGTGTCTCATTAACACGCGATATATCGATCCCCGAACGCGCTCCCAGTCGACTCTGGAACTCCACTGGAGCGAGCGGCGGTGGCAGCGGAGTCGACAGGGGAGCTGCGGCCGTCGATCCTGCGCTGTGAGGATGGGAGGTAAATCAGAATAAGGTACGTCGACTTCAGCTACGGTATTCCCATAACTGAAGTTGCGTATCTTACATCGACACCCCCCCCCCCCCCCCGTACGTGTAGACCAGGCCTTCCTGTAAGTGGAATGAAGTCTGATTAGGTGCACTTGTGACTGTGGTCATTAAGAACTGAAGTAGAGCACACCACAGGGCCTTGAGAATTAAGAGTTTGTCATACATATCAAAAGGCCAAAAGTGAGGGTATCTTTGAGAGCTGATAGAGCAGCTGTCATGTCTCATGCTAGAAGAGACACAAGAGCTGGAATCTAGTCAGTATAGTAACTACAGAGAAATATTTATAACAGTTTTTACAGAATTTTGTTACAGATGCAATGCACAATACAGAGAGTAAAACAAACAAATACAGAAAATGAATGAATGTTTAGGAATTCTTAATCTGTTGGTATATTTCAGATTATGATGAAACAAAAGTTGTGTATGTTTGTAAAGCACAAGATTAAAAATGAGCAACGTCACCTTTCTATCAAGTAATTAAGTAGATACTGCTTCTGGCAATTCACTGATGGCACAGTCAAGAATACATACCAAAATACAGACCAATTGCTTTTTCTGTTCTTTGTATTCATGGAACATTACATGAACTACTTTTAATCTGCTTATTCTTCTGATAACTGGGTAGAATATCTACCACCTTCACTAGCAGCATCACCATCATTATATATTAATTACAAATCTACACAGTAGTTTTAATAAATTAGTAAACAAAACTTAAGTCACAAGTTTGTTTTTTTAAACAAAAATTCAGGTTGCCAGCAAATTTTTCCCAGTGGCAGACGGAGGCATTTAATATTGTCACAGACATCTAAATGTTAGGTAACATGTCAGTATTGACACAGCTGCTAAAAGAAAATACTTTGAGAAACAAAATATACATATTTTTTTTTCAGTTTACGTAAATTATTATGAAAACATCCTGGTGATGAGAAAGTTATTCTTGAGTTCTTCTGCTGCTTTCACTTAGTTTGCTTATAAAAGAAAAATAAACCCTTTAAAACCACTAGTGTGATTTTGGTGTTGCAAGAAAAATGTTCATATATACCTTGCAACCGCAAATGGATATAGAATCATAGAATATCAGGGTTGGAAGGGACCTCAGGAGGTCATCTAGTCCAACCCCCTGCTCAAAGCAGGACCAATCCCCAACTAAATCATCCCAGCCAGGGCTTTGTAAAGCCTGACCTTAAAAACCTCTAAGGAAGGAGATTCCACCACCTCCCTAGGTAACCCATTCCAGTGCTTCACCCCCCTCCTAAGTGAAAAAGTTTTTCCTAATATCCAACCTAAACCTTCCCCACTGCAACTTGAGACCATTACTCCTTGTTCTGTCATCTGGTACCACTGAGAACAGTCTAGATCCATCCTCTTTGGAACCCCCTTTCAGGGAGTTGAAAGCAGCTATCAACCCCCCCCCTCATTCTTCTCTTCTGCAGACTAAATAATCCCAGTTCCCTCAGCCTCTAAAGTGACAATATGGAAAAAGGAATTTCACACTTTCATTAATATTATTAGGGACTCTTTTATTAAGCTATATACAAATTTCAAATAATTTATACTTTTAAATGTATATCAAGACTGGAGCAATTTAAATCAAGACAATTTAAATCATTCATTTAAAATCACTTGATTTTTCAAAAAGTCATTTATACTAATTTGAAAATTTGTGCTATGCAGCTTCAGATTGAAAATAAAAACTGCATTTACTTTAAAATAAACTTTAAATATCTCAAGCTACTGTGTCTCTTATCTGAATCTTAAAAACCCGCTATGGGCAAAAAAATCAAGATATTGAAAAATTAGGTCCTGATCCTGCAATCATTTATGCTGGTATGTAACTTTACTCACATGAACAGTGCTTAAAAATCACATAAGCATTTGCAGCATCAACCTTGTATTTTAGAGTAGGCCAAATTACCAAATAAATTGACATTAATGAAACAAAGCATTTCTGGGGAAAAGTTGGTAAACATGTTTTATTTCATAATTTGAATGTGCTGAATTTGAAAATGAAGTTTACCAAAACTGAATTTTGAACTTTAAGGTAAGTAAAAACAAAAAATTGCTATCATTTGTAACTTAAAAAAAAGTGAAGGAGAGGTACTAAATATAGACTATGTTCCTAATTTGGAATCCTGTGCTAACAGAAAATGCAGGGTGTGATCTCTGTTGAAGATCATACGCTCTGCTTCCTCTTGTTATGTGATGATATGCACTTGAATTTTGTTTGTTTTGCATTAAAGTATTTACTTAATCTTAAATATCATCCTTAAGTAAGTACTTTTCAGATATTTTTGGAATTAAATGCCCTGCTATGCTTGACACTAAGTATCATACACAACATAGTATGATATAGTTTATTTCCCTAAGTTCTTCTCTTTCAAAAATATAAATTATTACTATAACCCTAAGCACTAATCCAACCTAAAGCTGACTTTTGCTTACAGTGTAAGTGAGCTGAGTATTGATTTGGATACCTATGCCTTGGCATAAGCTAGGTTCTGGTAAATATTTATTCAATATTCATGAGGTAGTGTTTAATTATATTTATTATTATTGTCAGGTATTCCATAGATGAAACACAGAGGCAGTCTTGAACCTGAAGCATCCCTCAACAATATCTTGCCAACAAGTGAAAAAGGACAGTTTTGGCTTCTAGCGAACAGGGATTGATTACAATACTAGGGGCAACCAATGCAAGACAGAAACTCAGAGTTTTCTAAATAGGGATGCAACCAATAGAATTCTAACAGCTCTTCAATCTAAATGCAGGCTATAATTACTTTGGCATAACACTGTTATGCAACATATGCAGATAGAGGTAAAATTAGCAGTTTTTAAAATCCAATGAAGCTATTTCATCAACCAGTAAGGATGAACTGCAAATCCCATCTTGCATTACAATCTCCAAAACCTCAACAGTGCTTCAGAGCAAGGTCCCCTTAGTGAACTGGAGTTTGCATTTCTGCCAGGATGGAAGTTTCCAAACAAAAAACTTTCTTCTGAAACAACATTCAAAATGAACAAACAAATACTGGAGTCAGCAGAGTATAAATATGAGCTTAGTATAGATACAGCTGGTGTAAGTGACCTAATAGTCTCCGAATTGAAATACCACCCTAACTGCTATAAACATTTCTCGAGACAATACCACCACTAACCATGAAACCACGCAGAGTGATACTGACTTGGCAATGGTCTGTTTTAGCAATGAGAGAAAGCACTGCAGAAAAGGGTTGTGTTTTGGAACTTTCACAGGTATGGACACATTACTGTTTTCTCTCAAATGAAGCTGGTGGCGATGTCCCACATACACTTTTAAGTCACATGGAAACCTTCAAAGAAAAACTTATTCTACATTGTGATGGTGCTTACAAGTTCATTGTCTTACATGATCAATCTGCCTTGGAGAGAAAAATATTATTAGTGCCTGTCAATTCTGTCATCTCTCTTTCCTTCCAGGCACTGACAGGTTTTGATATTGTTTCCCATATTGCTGGGCACTGCAAGAAAATGGCTTGGACAATATTTATGGAGAAACATGCATTCCTAAGAAATTTAGGGAAGGATAATCTATAGAATGAAACAATCATTTCAGCAGAAAAAGTTCATCTGCAACATGTACAATTTACTTGAAGAGGAGAGCTGCAACAAGTTCTCCAAGTATCGATCACTAGAGGCACTGACCCCAACAAATGGTGCACTGCGCTACCACGTCCAAAAAACTCACTTTCAAGCCACGGTGTGGAGGTAGGCAAACTGCTACAATCCCACACTGCCCTTATGAGAGAACATGAGTTGGGACAAACACAATAGAGAACAGCTAATGTCACTATAGCCAATCCCCCACAACTGTGCAGATGTGTCAAAGGGTGCCTATCGCAACACTGGAGCTGCAGAAATGCCACAATGGCATGCACTGGGCCTGTTAATGCAAGGGGTGTGTTGATACATATAGGATCCGTTAAATTATACCTGTTTAAACAATGTGCAGGACATACAGTAACTGTTTGTAGTTGATTTAAAAGATAGATATTTACTAATTTTTCAAATTTTACTTAAATGTTGTACTCCAATTTAGAAGGTGAAATATTCAAAGTTCAGCTTAGTAATTTTTTTTTTAAAAAACAGACTGAGCACATTTAAATCATGAAAGATAACCTGTTCACCCGCCTTTCCCAAAAATGCCTCCTAGATCTTATTTTATAGAAAATGTGCCTAATCTATTCTACTGACTATGTTTTTTAGTGACATAAAATCTATTACTTTGTTAACTCTGAAAAAAAATTGGTTTAATGAAAAGTTATTGTGCACTTTCTTTTAAATATACACAGGACAAAATTTGCTGAAGTGGGAGTCTAAAGTTATGGTCCTAAGCCCATATATTCAGGTACTTAAAATGTTTTTGTAAATGTGACCCTTAACATGATTTGGGAGCACAATTCCCACGGACTTCAAACTACAAAACCCAGATGACGGAAAACAGCTTAGTTGAGGCATTTCAGTTTTCTTGACTTGTGGAAGTTCAATATATCAGATGGTGATGCTGGCTGGAAACAGAGCAGGAGCTATTTGTTTATCAATTGTGTGTTTTAGTTTGTGTTGTTCTCACAGTAAGGATGTTAATGAGGTCCTGGACTTGTCTTTTTCAGCACACACGAGCATTTTAAGTATGATACTTAATAGAAAAAACATCTATGTAAAATCTGAAATTCTATAACAGTTTGGCATGCAGCAAATCTCCAAAAAGGGCCATAATTTTAGAGTTTAATGTACCCACCCTACACACACACAATATATATGATTTGAAAGCTTATTTTATGTGCAATTAGTTGAAGTATAATGTGGATCTGCCAAGTGGTGCTTTAGGCCTGTAGGTGAGGTAAAACAATGGTACTCAAAATGAGATAGTGTCATTTTTTGCATAGTTCCAGAAATACTGAAACATGACTACAGTTTTTTGGGTTTTTTTACTGTGTAAGTTAACGTCACACTTTAATATAGTGTTTATTGGTCAAAGCTCCCAAATGACAATGTATCACAAGATTTTTAATGGGCAAGTTCTCCCTGCCCTGAGAAATGATGAAGCTGCTTAGCATGTGGAAAAAATGGCGAGAGCATTGCACATAACCTATACGCCCCTGGCAGCGGGGTGCAGTGTATCTTAAATTTTGTAACTATAGCTGTTTCCGTGACTATTTCCCCAAGAAATTGTTAAACATATTATCCAAAGATTATCGATCATAGTATTTTCCATGTGTTTTCTAAAGGCAACCCCTCACACATCCAAATAATGACCCACCCTTCTCAGCTGATGAGAACGGCAGAAGAAGGTGGCATGGTGGTCTGTAACTGTCTGTTTTTTAACTGATGTGCAATCACAAAAGATCATATGTAACTGGCAGAATACTACAGTTAGAGATAAGTATACAACCATTTCATGAAATAATTTAGTTGTAGAGCTTCTTACCGTAGAGCACGACTAAGCTTCTCATAGTTCATGGTGGGTTTATTTTTACGTTGTCCCCATTTCTGTGCAACCAGCTCAGGTTGATTCAGTTTAAACTCCCCTTCATCGCCAACCCAAGAAATACAGTCTCGAGCATCTTTGTCAGTAAGAAGTTCTAGCAAAAACTGCCATAGCTGAATCTGGCCATTGTTTCCTATGGAGATAAAAAGTCATTAGAACTAAACAGAAGTTATTTTCTACAGAGCTAAAGTTATTTTAAGATTTCATAAGCTTCAGTTTAGGACAGCTCAACATTCATGTTATACAGTGGCCAAGATTTTTTTTTCTCTTTTTTTTTTTAAATCAGACCGTAAGTTAAGCGCTTAAACGAGCACTTAGAATTTAAATAGTTGGCCTGATCTTTCAAAAGTGCAGCGCACCCAGTAGCTCTCACTGAAATTTTGGCCTAGAAGCCTAGTTCTAGGATCCTATTTTTGAAAATCTTGGCTAATGTCACAAGGCACTTTGCAGAGCATGTCAATCAAGCAAAACTTAAACATGGTTTACAGATGAGACTTTTTTTTTTGGAGACAGATGAAGTAGCAACTCCTAACTGAGGGGAAGGGACAGAAAGGAAAGCAATATTGGAGGACAAAAGCAATGTAACGGGGGAGCTGATATACAATATTAAAGATACAAAGAGTTTGGATGAAGAAAATCTAAGGAGAATTCTGAAGTTAAATTGCATAGCTAACGTGCAGTTTTCCTAAAAGTGCCTTCACTTCATAGGGATTAGCAGGTCTCCAACTGGTAAAGTTACCAGCAGTGTAAGAAGGAAAACTAAACAAACAGTATGCAAAGTGCCAGGTTAGAATTCTGGAACATATTTGCCAGTCGCTGCTTCCTTCCCGAATGATCCAGTAAGGCGAAGATAAATGGCAATTGAGCAAATGGCATTGAGTGGGAGGAAGGGGGGCACTTTTAAGACAATTGTCAACCTTGGGTTTATCTCGTCTACAAGATAGCACTTCCATCAAGATAGTGCTCTTCAGCACCATGCTGGGCACTGATTCAGTACTAACTCAAAAGGTCTGAGGGCTACATACTGCATCAGCACTTCCTGTCTTACCTGGATTTTCCCTCCAAGCCTCATATCCAAGCAAGCAGCACTTAGAAAATTTGGCAAAATCATATCTGTAAGGAATACAGCTGTATTCTGCAAATTCACCATGTGATTTAACTGTTAAATATTTATAGCATTTACATTAAAATAAAATTGAGAAAATACCTGTTCTGTTCCCAGGTGAACTTCGGTCTTCTCCGGAGATTCTTGGTGCTCTTTGTACTTTAGCTGCCTTTGAACTGCTGTTTATTACTTTAATGGTGGTCGGGGTAGCAGGCTGTACAGATGCTGGAATAATTTGCACAGCTGTGAAACGACAAACATTGGAGAATAATTATAACTTGTTGGTACAAAAACCTGACACGAGAGAGAGTGTGAGAGAGAGAGAGAGAGAGAGAGAGAGAGAGTGTGTGTGTGTGAGCGCGAGCGAGCGCTTTAGAAACTAGTGCTACAAACACTCGAGAATGGAGGTTGTTCGGAACTCTGAACAGAACGTTATGGTTGTTCTTTCAAAAGTTTGCAACTGAACACTGACTTAATACAGCTTTGAAACTTTATTATCCAGAAGAGAAATGCTGCTTTTAACTATCTTAATTTAAATGAAACAAGCACAAAAACAGTTTCCTTACCTTGTCAAGTTTTTTATTTTTTTTTTTAATTTCCCCCCTTTTTTAGTAGTTTACATTCAACACATTACAGTATTTGCTTTTTTTTGTTCTCTCTCTCTCTACTGCCTGACTGCGTAATTTTGGTTCCAAAAGAGGTGTGTGGTTGACCGATCAGTTCATAACTTTGGTGTTCATAACTGTGTGTGTGTGTGTGAATATTAACATTCAAAATATTTCCCCTCCAAAGAGCCACACAAATATTCATAAACCTTCACCTTAAGAATAATATAAATTGTTGCTACCATTTAAAATGGAATTTGTGTTAGCATTGCAGTATAGAACTTATTTCTGATATATGTTCACCAAGAATGCAGTTCTGAACACCTTATATTACAAATATTTCACTTGTGTCACATTATGGTGCAGAATAATGGAAAAGTCTATTGATCATAAGAAGAAGAAAGTTAGAAACATTCATAATTCTGATTAAACTCTTAAATTGGCTAAAAAATTAAAGCTTTGCTTTCAAGTTGAAAAACATGCAAAAGGTGTTATTTCTCTGTGGCTTTTCTGACTTTTTGGTAGCATGAGTGCTGAACCCGCATTTCTTGTTGACAAACACCTGTCTTAATAATTTACTGGCATGACTACTCACGCTGATCAATAGTAACTGTTGCTATTTCTCCAGAGTGTTCTTGGCTAGCCAATACATCTGCCAAGTAAAAGAAAAATATTTAAATCTTTATTCAAATCCTTACCCTCATAAATCAACTGAATGCCAAATGGATTTTATAACTGAGAAAACAAGAAAGGAATGCAGAGAAACAACATAAAGGTTGTAGAGTGTATAAAGATGATGACTTTTAAGAGTAAATATTTAACACCACATGAAAGAAGTATGCACATCCTTTTTTTATGTCCTTACACTATTTTTTTATTCTTTACCCATACAAACTTACTATTTTGCTTATTTGATGTACTTTTTTCAATGTCACAGACAGAAAATCAGCCTACCTAATTGTATCCAAACATTGAATACACATGAATGCACAATAGATTAGCTGCAGTGTATATGAGCTAAAGAATTAGCTTAGTAACTTTCACATTTACGTTGTGAAACAGCAACGTATATTAAATAGCACTTAATATTTAATTATAAGTCTGTCAAATCAGATGAACAACTAAAGCTAATATTAAAAACATAAATCAAGAATGCTCAGGTATGTTGTAAGAGCCATACCTCTTGTACCTTACTTCTTGTATTAGATTAACAATAATAAAATTTGAGGAAAGATGGGACATTTTTTTTTGTAACAGCAAGTACTCTCATTATAACATATTCCCTTATCTTGTACTTGACACCCTCCCTTTCACTGCTAATGGAAAGTGGAAAAATAATTTGGACTGTTCACAGCTGTCTTCATCTTTCCACAGAAAAAAATAGTGACTAAATTAGTCATTGAGAAAGCTCACATACATTTTCGAAGAAGCTCCAGGTGGCTCCAAAGGATTTCTCCCCGAGGGACCCTCTGGAAGAAGTCCTCTTGATTGAGGCTACATAACTCTCGGCCTGGAATACTAAGAGTATTGAGGTCTATGTCAGTCATGCTGAACTCCTTCATCACCCATACCACCCAGTGGAGTACTTGGTCTGTTGACCACTGTACGGGGTCTAGGAAAAAAGAAGAAAAATACATTAAACAACTGATAAAAGCTGTAAAAGGTGTGTCACCCTGTCCATTTTAGACACTACAGAACTATTCCCTATAGTCACAAACAATAAAAAGAACCAGAGAAAAACACTGTCCCATATGATTGAAACAAGTATGACTGAAAAGTCATATGAATGAGTTGTTAAATTAAAGAAAAAAAAAGAAAAGAAAAAAGACCTAATTCTTAAGTTTTAGTAACAAAGTCTGATTATACCACAAACATTCTTTCCATAGAGAAACAAAAAAGGAAGACAATAGGTGTGGAAAGCCACAACTCAAATGAAATTTTGATTCTCAAGATGCCACTACAAAACTATTCCTATGAACTTGCTAATTTGCTTTCTATGGCTTTGCCCGAGACAGTTCAGTATCTGGTGTGCAATGCAAGCCTCTGACTTGGATCACCATTTCTTCTCGCCATCTCTGAAAGTTTCTGAGCCCTCTATTGCTCTCTCAGATTGGAAGGAATGAAACAAGAAAATTGGTAGAAACATCAGCCTTCCCTATGTTGGGATGGGATACCCTTCCCCAACCACGATCTAGGTCAGTAACACTGTGTGCAACCAGGGAGTAGCTGAGGATATTGGTGGCTAGTGAGAGTTTTAAGCAACATCATTAAGCTTCCTAACCTTTCTGGGAGAAGGATGAAAAAATATATATATATTGCGTCTTGTTGTAACTAGGCCATCTGGGTGAACAGTTAGAACAGACGGCTGTCAAAAATGGTTTCACATGCAGGGTCATTTTTTCCCCCTGTTACTATTGTCATATCCTGTAGGTTCTTTAGGTTAACACTATACTGCATAATAATGCTTCTGTGAGCACAGCATAACTCTGGAATCTACCTTGGGCCTCCAAATCCCAAAAGAGCTCTGGTAGGCCCTAACAAAAAGCAACTTGGCATCATGGATAGGCACAGATATCGTTTCTGTGATTTTCTTAACAAAATGGATCAGGAAAGTTCTATCGTTCCCTCACATAGGAAAAAGCAAGAGCTGTATCTTATATGGTTTCTTGAGAGGCTTTTGAGTTTCATGGCTAAGACAAACATGCTTTAACAGTCACTCCCATTGGTCATGAAACTCTCCCCGACAGGGTCTGGATATTGTACTTGGTCAGCAGAAACCTCTCACTTCAACAGTTCTGAACCTGGGACAGCTGGCACATCCACCAAAATGCAAGAAGAATGGGCAGTGCCAGAGTTTTAAAAATCACGTTTTAAAGAGTTAACTTTGCATTTGCAGCACACTAGTCCCCGGAAATAGTAAAGGAAATAGGAGAATGTTCCTGGTTAAGACTTAGCTCCCAAGAAATATTCTAGGGCTTGGGGAGCGGGGAGGGAAGGGGGCGGGGCAAGGAATGGTAGTGCTGCTGGTGGTGAGAGTTTTCATCATAGCTCCTAGAAGTCACAAAGAACCTCCTCTGCTCCAGACAGTGAGCTTCTTGTTTCTTAAAAGAGCTAAGTAAATTGTCTGCCACAACACCAAAAATTATCTACTTCTGTTGCTGCCTTGTCTCCTGAAAAAACTCTGGCTTCTCAGAGTGAAAATACAATGTACTTAAGGTCCCTCTTGGTAAACTGTGGCTCCAAAAAGCAGTTGGGGGCATTTTTCCTTTGATTTAGCATTTTCTGATTATTCCATGCTTCCAGAAAAAATAACCTGAAGGAGAAAATGACAGCTAGAAACAGCTGTGGAGTACACCTTGTATGTTTCTCTGAGACAAGAATGAAACTGGAGAAACAGAAGAGAGACGTTAAAGGGTGGAAAATTCCTGGATGGTGGTTAGTTGTTAGCTTACTAGTCAGAGCAAATAATGGGAAGGAATAGAGTCTGCAATATCACTACAAAACAGGGTTAGATTTTACTTTGTGCTACAACTCTCGCTGTCTGTTGCAAAGCGCTCTGGATTCTCAAAAGAGGCAAGTGATTTCAGAAAGCCTTGATGAAGTTGAAAAACTCTGAACTCCCAGCAGAAATGCAATTTACACACATTTACAGAAGGGTCAGGCAAAATGAAATCTCATCTTTGAGGAATCAATTCATTTACAAAAAACTACAGAGCCGTATATTATTATAAAGCACCAACAATACATTCAGAATACAAAAAGTCCTCAAGTGCCTCCTTTCTCTAATTCCATGAAGTCAGGAAAATCTGATATGGTGTTTAAAAGCTATCCTTTTTGGCATTCACTTGATTAAAACATTTCTACTACCAAGAGGAGAATTCTAAAATGTCTATACTTGGGTTTTGTCATAAAAGAGGCCAATTTTTGTTTTCTAGAAAATTCTCATCTTCGTAATGGAAAACAATTGTAAACCTTTGAAATTACAATGGTGTCACATTCACAATGCTGATTTTCTTCTTTGAGAAAGCAAAGTTTTAATACTAACAAATCTATAAAGTTGATTTACAACAGTTTATTTAACACTAAATGTTTTTAGTATTATGTTGAAGAGTGTAACTTATCTTCTTGCATTATAGGATGGCATGCTGTGAGATTTCAAAAGATATTCACATGAATATCCCTAAGCTTTTTGTATCAAACCCTCAATTAACAAGGTATCTAGCATAATGAAAGTGAATTCAGAAATGCTTGTATGTCAAAGGGATCAACAAAGCAAAGAAATCAGAAGCCATTGCTTCAGTTATTTCTCTGAGACTCTGTTAAGAATATCAGCCAATTTAATACCTTGTTCCCTGGTAAATACCTGAGACTGAATTTAATTCTTTCCAAGTTCTAAAACCAAGCAATGGCAAGAAAAGGCAAACAATCTGAAATTGCTGTAATGTGTTTTGTGCCATCTAGGATTATCACTTGGGCTTCCTCAACAAGGCAAAAAAAGGGGCAAGTTTCTGGGAGTTTGTTTACATATTACAGGTTGATTTAGTGAACATCACTGGAGAGTACATTACAATGATTTAACACAGTTAATTTTCACCTGCAGAGTCCACGGTTCAAGTGTGGTATAGGTCTCAAAAGAAATGTTTCAATATAGCTCCGAGAACACATTTACAGACATTACATATGCTATAATGTTAGAACAATTAGTCTATTCCGTGGTGACCCTCTTTTGAAAAAGATTATTGAAGTTTAAAAATTAGGTACATTAGGTACTTGAATCTAAGTGTGGCTTTTCATACAAATCTGATACTGCTAGGTGCTCCGCATCCTCCACTACCATTGTCTTTAATGGGCCCAAAGGGAGTCAGGAACCCCAGAGAACTGGACCCAAGGTCAAATTCATACACAAAAAGTTTAATCTGCTAATACACATATTTTAAACTACTTTATGCACTAGACCAGGGAAAACGCACATTTTTAAATTTAAGTAAGCTGTGGAGGAAACCTACCCTCTTCTACCAAGGAACTATAAGCCATGGTTCCACCTCCACTTTACTTACTCTATCAAGCTATTTGCACAGCGCTCCTCAGCATAGCATATGCTATCTCATCATGGTATCTGAGCACTTTAATAAATTATGTCTCTTATAACATACCTAATATCCAATAATTCTCAATTATTAAAAACATATAAGCTATTGAACATCTTGTTTTATTACCATAGGGTATTCCAAGGCGTTCTTGCTCCTTTCGGTAGCCTTCCAACGCTGCAGCCCATCGAGTCACTTGCTCAGAGGTCTCATCTGAAATTGTTGTAATGTGTTTTGTGCCATCTAGGGTTATCACTTGGGCTTCCTCAACAAGGTGAGCTTCAGCTTCAGCATGGTGGGCATCTGGATCGATAACTACCTCCACAGTTTCTACAGGCTTTACAATTTCAAGGATGTTTAACTTGGGCTCTATTCCTAGATATGGATGAAAATACAATAAGGTAAAATACATTATCTTTGAGCACTGCAAAAGCATTACCGGTTTCATTTAAATCTCGCCAAACATACTGATACTACATGCCGAGAATCAGATACAGAAAACACCAGATGCATTCACGGTTAGCATCACATTTTCAGAACAATTCATGAGTCAACACTATCAAGGATAGCAGACTCAATGTGGTATTTCTTCTCACCCTTCACTTAAGCATACACTTATAATTTAGTAAAGTGAATAAACAAATAACTATGTCCCTTCACCCCACAATCCCATGTTTTAAATTCAGTTTTTATATATACCCACACACACATATTCAACTGGCAGCTCTGTATGCATACCTGAGGAACTATTACACTTGTCCTATGAAGGAAATATAGTAGGCCCAAAAATAGGTACCACTTTCAGTCTTCAAAAGTGGTTACTTTTAAATTGTCTTTGAAATTATTACACACACTTTGGTTAGCATCACTTTAAGATACCCTATAAGGTACACCTACATTGCAATAAAAGACCTGCAGCATGGCTGCAGCTGACCTGGGTCAGATGACTTAGGGTCACGGGGCTCAGGCTATGGGGCTAAAAATTGCAGTGCAGATGTTCAAGCTCAGGCTGGAGCCCAAATCCTGAAAGGGGGGTGGATCTCAGAACCCAGGCTCCAGCCAAGCCTTGCAAGCCCAAATCAATTGACCTTGGTCTGAGACTTGTTTTTTTAATCGCAGCATAGACACACTCTTAAAGAGGCAATGTGATCTAGTGGATCAGAAGCCTGGAAATCAGAATGCTCAAGTTCTAAATGCAGCTTTACCAGCAATTTGTTCTGTGGCTCTAGGTCAGTCCCTACCTTCTCCACTTGAATTTCTTTATCTGTAAAATGGGTTAAGTAGTATTTATCTATTCTGCAGGGGTGTTATGAAGATTTATGTTTATAAAGCAGTTTGAAGTGCTATATAAATAATTAGTATGATTATTATAAAATAACTCAGACCTTTACTTTGCTCCAAGAAATCTTATAGTCATTCTTCACTCCAAACTTCTGCTCTCATTTGTCTCCCTGATAAGTAAGCCTACCTATCAATACTTCCTGGATACTGCCAGATTTCATTCCTTACCCTTCTCCAACATTACCTTGATGCCCTCATTAAGTGTCATCTTAAGTTTACATTTTTAAGGGTCCACAATTCAAAACCAGACCATGAAGCTCCAGGAAGCAACATCATACAACCTGTTTTCCACTGAACTGCAAATCCATTCAAAATTTCTACCCCCATCTTCTAAGTTCTCCACTCTACTATCCTTTTTTAACATCATATCTACTACTATTCGACCACTCTCTCTAGATGCACACACTTAGGCAGTGTCTAAATCTTGCTGCTACTTCCTGTGTGACACCTTGAGACCTGGTTTGTTCTCGCTGACGACACACCTAAAAGGTTAATCTAGGCCGTCATCTCACATTGACTACTGCAACCTCCTATGTGGCCTAAATGCTATCTTGCCCAATTTATATCCATTCAAATGCAGATACAAATAATTTTCCTAGCTCATAATTTGACGGTCACCCGCACTCCCTATGTCCCGCTCAGGGCTGGCTCCAGGCACCAGCTTACCAAGCAGGTGCTAGGGGCAGCCACTTCGGAGAGGGCCGCCCCCAGCTGGTCGGCGGCAATTTGGCGGACAGTCCCTCACTTCTGCTCGGAGCGAAGGCCCTCCCGCTGAATTGCCGCCGCAGATCATGATTGCGGCTTTTTTGTTTGTTTGTTTTTGTTTGGCTGCTTGGGGCGGCCAAAACCCTGAAGCCGGCCCTGGTCCCGCTCCATTGACTCCCCCTCCTTCATGCATTGAACACAAACTACTTATCTTTATTTTAAAAGGCCTTTCATGGTCTATCACCATTTTAACCATCATCTCTGATATGGCAATGAGACAACGAGACCCATCTCCTCTGCACTAATGATGCCAGTCTTGGCTGCACATTTTTCAAGTTCTGCAACAAGCACCTACGCGCTCTCTGCCACAGTACCTCTTCTAGGATTTCAAGTAAAAATCCACAAAGCCGTTGTTCTCCTTCAAACTGACTTCTGCTATGATGCCTACAAAAACATTTCACCATGGTTGGGCAGGTAGTGTGCTAGGATTACTGCTTATCATGCCAATGAGAACCATTACTTTATCCTTCACCTCACACCTGTACTGTTTACTGTATAAACCTACTGGATCATCTATATTAAGCTCCTTGAGGCAGCAACTGCCTCTTTGTTATGTATTGTGACAGGGCAAGGCCACATGGCTACAGTAAAGTAGTGAGGAACAGGTATGTTAGCCCCAGGCTAAACAAATCCCTGGTACCATGGTAAACAAATGGCAGCTGCTCCAGGTTGATCAAGACACCTGGGGCCAATTGAGATCCTTCTAGAAGGTAGTGGAGATAGCTAGGTTGATTGGGACACCTAAAGCCAATCAAGGACTGGCTGGAACTAGTTAAAAGCCTCCCAGTTAGTCAGTGCGGTGTGGGTGTCAGGAGCTAGAGGAGGAAGCCGTGCTGTTGGAGGAATGAATCAGTACAAATCCATACCAGGTGCAAGGAAGGAGGCCCTGAGATAATGTAAAGGTGATATTGAGTGGGGGCTGCTGTGGGGAAGGGGCCCAGGGAATTGTACACGTCCTATTTCCAAAAAGTCAGCGACCACAACTGCTACTTTTTGGGTCCCTGGACTGGAGCCTGGAGGAGAGGGCGGGCCCGGGCTCCCCCTTCCCTGATTAATCACTAAGATTGTGTGAGGGAGGGTTGCTTCTCCTCACCTCCCTTGCTGGCTTACGATGAAAATGGCTCAGGAAGCTGTGACCCTTGCCTCTAGAGAGAAAGGGCTACGTGGAGGGTCACAGTGAGCCTCTGAGGCTAGCAAAATCCGCCAGGAAACGCGGGACCCACAGAGACAAGGACAGAGCTTTGTCACAGTATGTACAGTGCTTAGCACAATGGGGCTGGGTCTTTAGGTGTTACTGCCATAGAAGTTGATATCATCTACCCACATAATTTTTTTGCATTTTTTTTTCTTTGTAAATTAGTGCTTTAAAACAAGTTCATTCTTGCTTGCTTTTCTTAGGAGTATTAAGATCTACCTGAGAAAAGATGACAGAATTAGGAACAAGTACATTTTATTCATTGTACAAAGACTTCTGCACAAACTCATCAAGAGATATGGAACAAAAACAGCTTTGATGCTACAACACTTGGTGAACAACTAGTTTTGCTGACTACTATTAAGTGTTATCTGTTAGTGTTTCATTCTTGTCATGAATATTAAAGAGAACTGTATTTCTTGCTCACTAAGTGTTTTCAGGTTTAAATTAGCTGAAAGTGAGAAAACATCAATTACAAAACACCTTAACTTTAGACTTTCTAATTTTGAGGAAATTTTTATTCTTTCTTCCTTTATCAAAAGTTTCCTTAAAGGCACAGGAGAAATGCTGAATAAAAGTGTTCTCCTTTGTAGTAAAGACGCTATTTCAGTGACAAAGAAATTTCAAAATGGATTCTATTTAAAAAACAATTGAACAGCACCTTTAACTAGCAAAACAATGAAGTCATCGTGACTGATAACTGCAACCCATTTGAAAAAAAATACATTTAACTTTTTGATTTCCAGGAACCCATTTTAAGCACAGAGGGGCAAAATTTGTCCTTTTACACCCATGCAATCTATCTGAACCCAAAAGGAACATACAGGAGTAAATGATGGCAGAATCTGACCTACTATACGAGCCAATAAACATCCACTTTTTTGTAACAAGAACTGTATATCTAATCTGTCTTGCACCACATTGAAAATAAATAACATGTTGAAGCTACTGGTTAATAAATTAGTAACTAAACAAGTCAAAAGTGAACTGTATACCATTTATGTTTGTTTAACCAGTAATCCAAAAAAGGATGTAATGGTTCTTATTTTGTTTATCTGTGAGCTAATGAGAATTGCTGTTGGAAACTGTCTTAAGAGTCTTTGGGGAATTAGACATTTTAGATATCAATAAAATCTTTCAGTAACTGATTACTCACCTAAACATGACTTGTGACATTTTTATATACACATACACACACCCCTTTCATTTTATATTATACACATCCTTTCATTTTTTATATCTCTTCAAAAATATATATGAAAGGGTGTGCACCCTTTTAAATTTCCTTAAGATGTATACAGAAGGCCTGAACTAATTATTTGTGTTACAATAGCACAAAGGGACTGCAAACACAGATCAGTGTTCCGCTGTACAAACAAGGACAACACCTTCCCAGACAAGAGACAACAGGCAGACGAAACAGAAAACAGGGGTTGAAAGAATGAGATAAAAGTACAGAGATTATCTGATAAAATAAGCACTAGTCTCAGATCACTACTGCCTATTCATGGTCAGGAGAGGTGTGTGATGCTGTATAAAATGGAAGATAACTAGTTGCACTAGTTCAGTCACCACTGTTACCAAGTTGCAGTAAATCTTGTATAAAGTATGACATGAAAGGTATCTATGGAAAAGTTATAATCTGTTAAGTATGATTACCTGTTTAAATAAATTTATCACAATTTAAACAAAATTTATCACCACCATGAGATCCTGAAAGCATATATTCACCTGGGGTGAGTGGCCATCTCCTTGGAGTTGGAAGAACCTATAATATGTGATGTCTGGTTTTAATAATCATTTATCACAGAAGTCCAGATGTGGGTGGTAAGCCAGGAGCTTGAATACCTAAGGGGGACTATATTTTGGCTTCTTGTGATACAGGAGCTCATTTTTGTTACTGGCTTTGTGACATCTAGTGATAGAATAAACCACCAGTTTTGGGGTGAGGTGTCTGCCCTATTTCTCAGTCTGTCCTGAATTTGGCACTCTCAGCCGTGACCCATGCCAGGCAGTGTGACAAGGTGGTCCATAAGATTCACATCAATAAGTAGTACAGAGTTATTCGAAGGACAAGAAAGTGGGGGATTCACAGACTTTTACAAACATAAAAGAGGTAGCGTGGGAAAAAACACAAAGGTGCTCTGACAGATAAGCAGAGTAAAGCAGATGAAGGCTGGCATGGTTGACAGTGATAGTAAAGGTAGGGAAGAACTAACTGATAAAAGATCTTACAGGTGAAGACAAGAAACTTGTGCCTGATCTGGAGGAGAAGGGAAAGCCAGTGGAGGGATGTGACCAGTTAGGCGGCCAAAAAAAAAAAAAAAAATGTAACATAGCAGCAGCATTTTGAATGAACACTACAATCTGCCAATCACAATGCACAAATGACAAAAAACCTACAGTTAGTCCACATTTTGGTAATTTGTCACATATTTCAGTTACTTCCTGCTTATAAACGAACTGGTTTATGATCGAGTAAGCTGACCCCCCCAAAATGGATAAGAAAAAATGGATAAGTAAAAATTTTCCACTTGATCAGTTACTTCTGTCATACACTGACAGGCTTGAAGATTGAGAGATATGCCGTTGCTTGCCTGGAGCTGGAGCGGAGCAGGAGCACAGCTCCAAAGCCCTGGAGATGATATACACATTTAGGATTTTTATTCCTCAAACTTCCATTATATACTGTCTGGGCCAGTTGGGTGTGATGAGAATGACTTGAACTTTGTCACGATGAATCTTTTGCGGAACTTGTGGTACCAGTCAGATGGGAGGAAAGGCATACCTCAGGTGGTCTGTCCAGGATAAAAGAAGGGCATCACCCCGGTGGTCCCAGCCCACTGCTGTTCTGGAGCAGTACATGTTGAACTTCTTGTTCATCTGGGAGGGTGAACAGGTCCCAGAATGGCCTTCCCCACTAAGTGAGGATTTCATTCAGGATGGAACTGTTTACCTCCCACTGCATGGTCTGTGGAAAAGTGCCTGCTGAGATTATTCACCAAAGAGTTCTGTGCACCTGATACATATATTGCCAAGTGTGAGTTGTGGTTCCTGATGCACCCATTCTAAACTGACTGCCTCTATACAAAGAGGAAGATATTTCACTCCACCTTGTTTGTTTATGTAGAAGACAGTCATCATGTTGTCTGATGTTACCTGGATATGATGGAACAGCATAAGTGGGAAGAATGCATCGCAGGCTAGGTAGATGGCCCTTAATTCTATGAGATTAATATGCATCCTGCCCTGCTGAGTCATCCACCTACCTTGTGCAGTGACACTGTCCAGGTGTGCTCCACATCTCTGATGAGGATTGGGCACGTGGAAGAATCTTGATGCAAGTTGACGTGAATGATCTCTAGTACCCACTTATCCATTGTTATTGCCCTTCACTTTTGGCAAAAAGGGTAAGATGGTCACCAAAGGTTTGAGGAGCCATAAGGAATGGCATCGATAAAGTTATGTGGTTCTCAAGTATCCCATCAAAAGTAAATCCTGGTTGATGGGTGGGGTTGAGCAGATGAGGTTGAGGTGGAAGAAGCTGCATACTAGGTCTTTCTATCCTCTGGTATTTGCATAGTGGTTCATAAGGGCATTGGTGGTAGAATGGCTGAGGGAGGGGTCTTGGCTTATAAACCTGTTTGTAGTATCTTATCTTTGGGGCCAGGATATAAATACCCAGGGAGTGGAGGGCCATCCTGCAGTCTTTTCATTGAAGAGATTGCATTCGAAGAGCAAGTCCGAATGGTATTCTCGACCTCCCTGGGAAACCCCTGAAGAGCAGAGTCAAGATTCATGCCTCAGAATTATCAGCATAGCTATAGATGCAGCATCAACTGTGTCCACCGGTTTCTGGCCATTGGGAGTGTGGAGCTGATGCTCAGGGCGGGGGCAGCATGCACAGTCCCGTGGCCCCCCTGCCTAGAAGCTGGGCCCACTGCTGGCTGCTTCCGGGGTGCAGCGCGGTGTTGAAACAGGTAGGCACTAGATTGCTTTAGCTGGGCAGCACTGCTGATGGGACTTTTAGGAACACATCTGGAAGGGGATCTGTTCATGTGTTTGCGAAAGTGCCCCTTACTCTAATGAGAGGCCTGAGGCAGCGATTCCTTGGGCTTAACAGCTCTGGCCTCTGCTCCAGAGTGCATGCTCAGGGAGGTGCGGCTTACAGACTGAGGCCAATGTACCGGAGGAGGGAGGGGTGTCTCCCTGGCCTGTAGCTGACTGGGGTCTATTGTCCTTCTTCATGAGGTACTTGCTTAGTCAAAGTTCCTTTTCCTCATGGGTTTGAGGAGATAAGGAGCAGCAGAGCTGTACATGGCAGAGACATGACCCTCCTCAAAGCCATAAAGACAGAGCTGGCGTTCATCACTAACTGAGAAGGGACAGGAGACCGTTCTTAAACCTGGGGACTTTGGGCATAGTCCTTCTCTGCAAGAAGAGGATCTCCAAGGAAGGGAGAAACTAAAACTATACTAACCAGAATAGAAAAATCACTAAAATACTAAGAATACTAACTATCTACAATCATATTTACAGGTTTTGAAGACTATGTGAAGATAGCTTTGAATACAGAGCATTACAGCTCAGGACATGTAGCAGTAAGAAGGAATTGGAAAGGGGTCTATCCACAGCACCCCTTATGGCCTTGGTATGGAGCACGAAGGGAACAACTGCATAGGCACAAACCAACGGACACTACTTGCTAGAAATCTCTGGTCTCAGGAACACGAGCACATGCGTACCCATGTGTGGAATACACACAGGGACCAGCACTAGAAGAAACATTGGTTATGTGTCCCTATGATTTAGTCCAATATATCCTAGAAACACAGGTACCAGTAAAGAGATGACCACCTTAGGTTTTTGCTTCTGATCTTTAGTACGTGGTGAGTTGACAATGCCACCATAATTTAATTATTCATGAAGCAGTAAGTTCACATTATACTGATGTCTCTCTCAATTAGCAGGTGGCAATTGTGCTTCATGTGACCAGATATTTTGTCCAGCATGAGACAAACAACTACTTGTCCTCATTGAAAGCTCTCACATGCAGGGTACTGGTGAGTTCCCATCCCATCAGTTTTCCTAGTTTGAGATTTATATAAAGTTACTATGGGAAACAGACACATTCTGGGCTGCAGAAACATCAGTCAATGAAAAATTTTAACTGTCACGCTATAAACCTATGGTGTACAATGGAAAAATCAGCCTATAGAAGCATGAATAATGCAGTTATATTTTCAATGCTACAGTTAAAAATGGTAATGCATAAACATAAATACACTTACAATATGGCTCATCTTGTATGATAGCGAATAAAATGCTTAATTGCTTACCTTGTCTGGATATTACTTGTACACTAAGCTGTACTGTTCCATCTGTCTTTACTCCTTGATCAAAGAGACTGCGATCTGGGTCCAGCTTGATACAAGGAGGAAATTTTTTAAAATTACTAGACTTATAATTAAATGCTTTTATAAAGTTATCTTGTATATTCAGTTCAAAACTCTGTACATATATGTCAGGGCATCAGAATACTTGAGTTCCTAACTGCAGCTATCAAATATTTTTAGTCTTAATCACCAACAGCGTGTGCAGCACTGTACAAGTCATAGTATACCTGGTCTTTATCCAGAGAAATTTCAAATCTAAAGAAGAAAAATTACTCCATTCTGATTAACAGTTGCTCCAATTACAAAAATTTTTAAAGGAACTTGTCAACCTCCAATCTGGTCAGTTTTAAAATAAATTAGTTAAAAGCAATTTGCTGCTGTGCAAGAGACCTCCAAAAATGTCATGGGGAAACAGTGAAGCCAACTATAAACAATGTACTGGCAAAATGCACAAAGTAAAAAAGAAAAACACTTCTCTCTCTAATCTTAGGTGGTAACTGCAACTATGCACAAAAGTGTGATTTTTTAATTTGACAGTATCCCTTTAACACAGATACTTAATACTATTTAATAGTCGCTCACCACATCAATCAAAGATAGTTGTCTAGACAATCTTTGCTTTATGCCTCTAAAATACTACATCATGCCACATTGGCTGTGATTCTGATTAATTCTTTAATGTATCTCTTACATGGACTTTAATATCCTCATTGTTACAGTACTATCTTCCTCTCTTGTACACAAACTTTCTGCAGAAAATCGTTTATTTCACTCAACAGTATATAAAAAAAGCAGTGCGTTATTGATCTGTTCAGTACAACAGAATTCAAAGTGACATCTCACTCCACAGCCACTGTGTGGAACCAGCTGGGAGCTATTTCCATCAGATAGCCCTTCTCTCTGTGTCCTCTGGGTAACAGCCCCAATCACTAATCAGTTATAATTGGCACTGGGAACAAGCTAGAGGCTGTTTCTATCAGGGCACGATCATTGACATCAACGAGACTACCTTCGTTTCTATTTTCACTTCTTTATTTCTAGCAGAGGAAAAAAATGTCCTCTTCCCCCAACTTCCATTTTTAGGTGTTGGTAAAAAAATTTTATATTCTGGGACATAACATTGTGAGGTCCACTACAAAGAAACATTTTTACGTAAGGGAGTCATTAACTATGTTTTTGGCTCTTAAGAGAGCCAAATCTTTCCCTTCCTCTTTTCATCATTATATCAAATAAGGGTATGTTTTCAATAGAAGTGCTGCAGCTGAACCAACAGGGATGGGAGTTCTTCCTGCCACTGTAGTTAATCCACTTGCCTGAAAAGGCAGTAGGTAGGTCATCTTTCATCCACCTGCTGATGTCTACATCAGGTGCTAGGTCGGCTTCACTATGTTGCTCAGGGGTGTGAATTTCTCTGACCCCTGAGCAACATACCTAGTTCAACCTAATTTTTAGTGTAGACCTGGCCAAAGAGACAGAAAGGGAAAGAGGGAGTTGGTATTTCACCACTGATCTAATCAAAACCCCAAATGAGGCTAATAACACTGGGAGAAGATATGTTCTTTTCATTCAGTGCCCTCCATGACTGCCTTCAGTTACATCTGCTTTAGAAGCAATTACATTAGCAGAACATAAATACTATTCCAGGTCTTCACCATATTCCACTGCCAACACCTCACTACCAGTGAATCTCTGCAGTAAGCTAGACTCTGCTTCAAACAACATACTACAGAGGTTTAAAAAAGAATTACAGATTTCTATGCAGGGAGTGACAGCAAGAGCGCTAACAGGATGACAAATATAATGATTGGAATCCTAATAAAATCCTCCATGATTAATTATAGTGATCAAATATTGAAGTTTGGGGGATTTGCAAATAGATCTTTATTAACGATCTATCAGCTAAAACTGCATCCTTTTTAGCTTCATTAATTGGTACTTTAGATATACTGAAAGTCTACTGTAATCTTTTAAAAATACACTTTAACAAACTAACTCAGTCATTTTCACATCACAATAGGCCAACAATAAGGAGGTCTGAAACAAAAATGTAATCTGCAGTTTTAGCAAATGTAACTTTCCAATATTTCCTTAGCTCTGAAATAATTCTTAGTAGCTACAGAAAGTAAGCTTTATAATCTGAATTCTATTCTTTGGGCCTTCAGACCTTGGTAATATTTCTTGCTAAACTTAATTTACTTGAAAAATAAATGACATATATATTTTTGACTATGACAACAAAGCCTTCTTTTACTACCTCAGCTTCATAATAAAAAAATACTAGTCACTGAAGAATCTAATTCAGAGGTCAATATCTGATATATCTTTGTGCCCTGAGTATAGTACAGGGGTCAGCAACGTTTGGCACGCGGCTCGCCAGGGTAAGCACCCCGGCGGGCCGGGCCAGTTTATTTACCTGCTGACGCGGTAGGTTCGGCCGATCGCAGCCCCTACTGGCCGCAGTTCGCCGTCCCGGGCCAATGGGGGCGGCGGGAAGCAGCGTGGGCCGAGGGATGTGTTGGCCGTGGCTTCCCACCGCCCCCATTGGCCCGGGACGGCGAACCGTGGTGAGTGTGGGCCGTGATTGGCCGAACCTGCCGCGTCAGCAG